TTTCTTTTCTAAATTGAAAACTAAAATTTCTTCAACTGTTTTCTATTTTTTGCTACATAGGCCTTTATAGTGGTAGTGAATTTGTTTTCATAATTTTTATTTTAGTTAATTATCATCAATAAAGTATAATACTATGTGCACGAGGTTGATAAAACTTCCTACTTACCTCTCTTTCAGAAATCAGTATGCATAGCAAGGACACAATCATATACATCAGATTTCTCTTGTGGTTTCTTCTGCTCTGCGTGCTTATTGGGAAGTCACAAAATGAAGATGACATCATAATTACAACCAAAAATGGAAAAGTCCGAGGTATAAACTTGCCAGTTCTTGGTGGTACGGTAACAGCCTTTCTTGGAATTCCCTATGCACAGCCACCTCTTGGTAGACTTCGATTCAAAAAGCCACAATCCCTGACCAAGTGGTCTGATATTTGGGATGCCACAAAATATGCAAATTCTTGCTTTCAGAACATTGATCAGAGTTTTCCAGGCTTTCATGGATCAGAAATGTGGAACCCAAACACTGACCTCAGTGAAGACTGTTTATATCTGAATGTATGGATTCCAGCACCTAAACCAAAAAATGCCACTGTAATGGTATGGATTTATGGTGGTAGTTTTCAAACTGGAACATCATCTTTACATGTTTATGATGGCAAATTTTTGGCTCGTGTTGAAAGAGTTATCGTAGTTTCAATGAACTATAGAGTTGGTGCCCTAGGATTCTTATCTTTACCAGGAAATCCTGAGGCACCAGGGAACATGGGTTTATTTGATCAACAGTTGGCACTTCAGTGGGTCCAAAAAAATATAGCAGCCTTTGGTGGAAATCCTAAAAGTGTAGCTCTCTTTGGAGAAAGTGCAGGAGCAGTTTCAGTTAGCCTTCATTTGCTTTCTCCAAGAAGCCACCCATTGTTCAACAGAGCCATTCTGCAAAGTGGATCGTCTAATGCCCCTTGGGCAGTAACATCTCTTTATGAAGCTAGGAACAGGACGTTAACCTTAGCTAAATTTCTTGGTTGCTCTAGAGAGAATGAGACTGAGATAATAAAGTGCCTTCGAAATAAAGATCCCCAAGAAATTCTTCTGAATGAAGTATTTGTTGTCCCCTATGGTACTCTCTTGTCAGTAAACTTTGGTCCAATAGTGGATGGTGATTTTCTCACTGACATGCCAGACATACTACTCCAACTTGGACAATTCAAAAAAACCCAGATCTTGGTGGGTGTTAACAAAGATGAAGGGACAGCTTTTCTAGTATATGGTGCTCCTGGTTTCAGCAAAGATAACAACAGTATCATAACTCGAAAAGAATTTCAAGAAGGTTTAAAAATATTTTTTCCAGGACTAAGTGAATTTGGAAAGGAATCAATCCTTTTTCATTACACAGACTGGTTAGATGATCAGAGACCTGAAAACTACCGTGAAGCCTTAGATGATGTTGTTGGGGATTACAATATCATATGCCCTGCTTTGGAGTTCACCAAGAAGTTCTCAGAATTGGGAAATAATGCCTTTTTCTACTATTTTGAACATCGCTCCTCTAAACTTCCTTGGCCAGAATGGATGGGAGTGATGCATGGCTATGAAATTGAATTTGTCTTTGGTTTACCTCTGGAAAGAAGAGTTAATTACACAAAAGCAGAGGAAATTTTGAGTAGATCTATAATGAAACGCTGGGCAAATTTTGCAAAATATGGGTGAGTGCTGATTTTTGTAATTGTTCTTCTCTGGCTTTGTTTGTTTTGTTTTGCTTAGCTTTACTTGGTCTCTAGTGTAGACTTTATTAAAGGCACAAAAAATATCTAATTGTTTATTCTCTGTGTACCTAAACTGGCTTTGTTTTTATTATTAAGTGAATTTCAACACCTTGTGTCATAGTGCTTAAAAGAAATCATTATCATAAAACTTTAAGACAGATATTTTCTTATTTCACGTCCAAAATATTTCAAAGTATTTAACAATCTCAGTCAAAGTTTGTATGGTGGCCAGGAGCAGTGGCTCACGTCTGTAATCCTAGCACTCTGGGAGGCTTAGATGGGAGGATTGCTTGAGCTCAGGAGTTGGAGACCAGACTGAGCAAGAACGAGACCCTGTCTCTACTAAAAATAGAAAGAAATTAGCGAAACAATTAAAAATAGAAGAAATTAGCCGGGCATGGTGGCGCATGCCTGTAGTCCCAGCTACCTGGGAGGCTGAGGCAGGAGGATTACTTGAGCCCAGGAGTTTGAGGTTGCTGTGAGCTAGGCTGATGCCACAACACTCTAGCCCAGGCAAGAGAGTGAGACTCTGTCTCAAAAAAA